GAGAAAGAGAGACTGAATGGATTTATCGCCTGTGAAAATAATGTCAAAGATGGTGTTGTTTCCGATAAGGAACATCGAAGATATCTACAGTGACAGTAAGGAATGAGAGAGATGTTTGACAGATGAAGAGAGCTGAGATAGCAGAACAGTACAACAAAATGCGTAATATTCATTTTTCAACAGTTCTATAACATATGTACAAATTGATAAAATCATAACTACGGTCAAAGGTTTGTATATGTATGACATATTAATGTGAAAGAGCTAGAGTTTCGAGATAAATGTATTTACTAGATAGAGAAATATCACTAGAATGAATAGTGTTGAAATAGTCAGAGAGAATAGTGACGAGTTCAATGATCTATTGAAGAGACACAAGAGTATAGAGAAGAAGAATCCAGTGAGGAAGAACTATCAACGATGGTTGTTCGATGATTTGTGCAAAATAGAGAAGTCTTATTAAGAAATAGAGAGAGCTCAGGCACAACTAGGACAAATCAAGGGAAAGAAAATTGAGTGGAGAAAAAAATGAAGAAAAGTTGGGAAAAAAATTTAGTAGAAAAATTATTTAGTACAACAAAATAAAATCACGTCATAGATAAGTTCTTTCAGCATATTTTTTATTAAAATTTAGTTAAATTATATATATATATATAGATATTTTAAAAAGTATATCGTTTGTATATTACTATTTCTATTATATTTAATGAAGATACTATGACTAAAAATAAATCTAAAATAGAGATAGGTGATCAATTGCAATTGTCACTTAGAGATGACACTTCAAAATTAATTGAGAGAGTTATAAGCTTTTATTCTTGTGTTTCCCAACTTTTAGTTACTGATTTTTAGAGTTTTCAGAGGCTAAAACATGTGATTTTAAGGTCTAAAAAGTGGAGGGTTTAGCCACCCTTCCTTTGGCTTGCCTACCGTCGCAAATTCTCTATTTTTTTTTGCGACAGCAATTTTTGCCGTCGCAAATACTCTCCTTTTTCGCGACAGCATTTCTGCCGTTGTAAATACTCTATTTTTTGCGATAACAAGTTGTGCTGTCGCAAAAAGTCATATTTTTCGCCACGGCAAGTTGTGCCGTCTCAAAAAGTCATATTTTTTGCGACGGTAAGTTATGCCGTCTCAAAAGGTCACATTTTTTGCGACAGCAAGTTGTGCCGTCTCAAAAAGTCATATTTTTTGCGATGGCAAATTGTGCCGTCTCAAAATGTCACATTTTTTGCGATGGCAAATGTGCCGTCGCAAAAAGTTCCGTCTCATAAGACCACTTTTCTTGTATTGTTATGATATATGTGATATTGATTATGAAACAAAGGGTGCTGGTTATAAGATGTGGTTATAACATATGTGGGTAAAGGTAATGAGATATATGATTAGTGATTATGAGATATGTGATTTTGGTTATGAGCAAAGTGGTAAAGTTATAAGTCAAAGGGCGTTTGGTTATGAGATATGTGATTAGTAGTTATGATATATGTGATGTTGGTTATGAGATTTGTGAGTAATGGTTACGAGTAAAGTGGTGTCAAAGGGTGTTTGGTTATGCTATATGTATTAATGGTTATGAGTTATGAGATATTGGTTATGTGTCTAGTGGTTATGAGATATGTGATGTTGGTTATTAGATATGTAACTAGTAGTTATGAGATATGTGATGTTGGTTATGATCAAAGTGGTGTAGTTATGAGTAAAAAGGTGTTAATTATAAGATATGTGATTAGTGGTTATGAGATATGTGATGTTGGTTATTAGATATGTAACTAGTAGTTATGAGATATGTGATGTTGGTTATGATCAAAGTGGTGTAGTTATGAGTAAAAAGGTGTTAATTATAAGATATGTGATTAGTGGTTATGAGATATGTGATGTTGGTTATTAGATATGTAACTAGTAGTTATGAGATATGTGATGTTGGTTATGATCAAAGTGGTGTAGTTATGAGTAAAAAGGTGTTAATTATAAGATATGTGATTAGTGGTTATGAGATATGTGATGTTGGTTATTAGATATGTAACTAGTAGTTATGAGATATGTGATGTTGGTTATGATCAAAGTGGTGTAGTTATGAGTAAAAAGGTGTTAATTATAAGATATGTGATTAGTGGTTATGAGATATGTGATGTTGGTTATTAGATATGTAACTAGTAGTTATGAGATATGTGATGTTGGTTATGATCAAAGTGGTGTAGTTATGAGTAAAAAGGTGTTAATTATAAGATATGTGATTAGTGGTTATGAGATATGTGATGTTGGTTATTAGATATGTAACTAGTAGTTATGAGATATGTGATGTTGGTTATGATCAAAGTGGTGTAGTTATGAGTAAAAAGGTGTTAATTATAAGATATGTGATTAGTGGTTATGAGATATGTGATGTTGGTTATTAGATATGTAACTAGTAGTTATGAGATATGTGATGTTGGTTATGATCAAAGTGGTGTAGTTATGAGTAAAAAGGTGTTAATTATAAGATATGTGATTAGTGGTTATGAGATATGTGATGTTGGTTATTAGATATGTAACTAGTAGTTATGAGATATGTGATGTTGGTTATGATCAAAGTGGTGTAGTTATGAGTAAAAAGGTGTTAATTATAAGATATGTGATTAGTGGTTATGAGATATGTGATGTTGGTTATTAGATATGTAACTAGTAGTTATGAGATATGTGATGTTGGTTATGATCAAAGTGGTGTAGTTATGAGTAAAAAGGTGTTAATTATAAGATATGTGATTAGTGGTTATGAGATATGTGATGTTGGTTATTAGATATGTAACTAGTAGTTATGAGATATGTGATGTTGGTTATGATCAAAGTGGTGTAGTTATGAGTAAAAAGGTGTTAATTATAAGATATGTGATTAGTGGTTATGAGATATGTGATGTTGGTTATGAGCCAAATAGTGTGGTTATGAGGCAAAAGGTGTTGGTTATGAGATGTGGGTATGAGATATGTGATTGGTGATTATGAGATATGTGATATTGGTCATAAGCCAAATGATGTTAGTTATGAGATGTGGTTATAACCTATAACTAAGTTATGATCAATTTGATTCTAATTATGAACAAATATGATTTTAGCTCATAACTATAAAAAGTGACTTATTTACCAGGGTACTTTTGATGATGTGACTCAATCTTAGCCATTCATGTTCTATGTTCTATATATTTTTTGAGTAGAATGTACTATAGAATTTTCATAGATCAACAAAAGGAAAGAAAGTGCAAAACAGCATCAGTATAATTTCAAGATCCCAACTAGATTGATAACAAAAAACATATACAATCATTTACTAGTACAAATCTCAAAGTTGGTGAGAAACCGCCTCGAAAGGAAATAAAAACAGCAATCTCAATGCAACACCAACAATCTCAATCCCAATGAAACACCAAGCTCAACAAGCACAAGGCAACACAAATCCACACAGGCACAGAGCATTAATAGCAGCCTACCTTAGCCAAATCAGTACTAGCAGTCCACCACATCCACCTGTGGAACCATGCAACCTCTAACTTGTTTAGTCTTACAAATAAAGTCATCAATAGAATAGAATCTTCTAATTGAATGGGCCTTCATCCAAAGGGCTACTCTTCCAATTGTATGTGGACTATTTGTTCATCTATCTTTATAAATATGCAATTTTAATTGTTCTAAAAAAATAATAAAAAAAAAATTGGGCAAATTATGCTAATAATACTTGTATTTTGATTTTTATGTCATTTTGGTCCCTATAATCTTAATTGGCTTAATTTTGACTCCGACCTTATGACTTTGTCTAAGTTTGATGTAATTGATTACAACTTTTAGCATATTTTTATAATAAAAATATAAACATAAGTGACATGTAACAAAATTATAAATTTGTTTAACTCAATAAATTAACTCAACAACCTTAGTGATCATTTTTTGTCAAAAATCTTAACAATGTTATCAATTGGACTAAATTGACACAAAACTTAAAATTAAGAGTCTAAATTGAACCAATTGAAAGTATACAGATCAAACTAACCTAAAAGACAATATAAAGACTACTGATATAATTTGTCGTTGAATTTTTGTACCCAATATCTCATATTCTCATGTTTTAAACATTTTTGTCTATCATGCAATTAATCTCTCTAACACAATCAATATCTGATATTCCCATGTTTTAAATATTTGTCTATCATGCAATTAATCTCTCTAGCATTGATTTTGTGGTGAGTCTTCAGATAGAGACTCAAAATTGAGATACAAAAGATTTGTATTGTTAAAAACAAAATGGAATTACCAATTAGTTTTATTAATTAAACTTATTTACTTATAGGTTCTGACTGATAAATAAATTTATTAATAGAACTTAATGCATAATAAGTCTGAAAAGTAGGGGGGAAGTGGTGAATATTATCTTTTGTGGATGATTCTATTATCTTTTGTGAGGCAGAATGGGGGAAGTGGTGAATATTATCTTTTGTGGATGATTCTATTATCTTTTGTGAGGCAGAATGGGGGAAGTGGTGAATATTATCTTTTGTGGATGATTCTATTATCTTTTGTGAGGCAGAATGGGGGAAGTGGTGAATATTATCTTTTGTGGATGATTCTATTATCTTTTGTGAGGCAGAATGGGGGAAGTGGTGAATATTATCTTTTGTGGATGATTCTATTATCTTTTGTGAGGCAGAATGGGGGAAGTGGTGAATATTATCTTTTGTGGATGATTCTATTATCTTTTGTGAGGCAGAATGGGGGAAGTGGTGAATATTATCTTTTGTGGATGATTCTATTATCTTTTGTGAGGCAGAATGGGGGAAGTGGTGAATATTATCTTTTGTGGATGATTCTATTATCTTTTGTGAGGCAGAATGGGGGAAGTGGTGAATATTATCTTTTGTGGAAAGGTCTCATTTAGTTTTTATAATTTATTCTGTAATATTTTTTGCGCCATCTAGAATCTATGCATATACAAAATTATTCATCTATTCATTCATTCATTCAATTCTTAACCATTCAATAAAAATATTTCTTCACAACTTGTACCATTCAATTTTCAACCACATACAAAACTTAACTATTAACCGTACATATCAACAAAATAAAAATCCATAAATATAGTATAATCCAACAAATACATATACTATCCAAACCAACAAACTCGTGATCGTAAGTTGTATTCCCAGCACAAATCTCTCTTTTACTTTGGACAGTTGTGCATTCACAACATAAATTGGTTCTTCAAGTCACTAGAATTAAACACAAGCAAATTTCATTTTTATCTATCAAGGAATCTTTTCTCCAGAACGGTTCCATCTCAGGGCAGAAATTTCCTACAATAACAATACTCAACAATGTTATGCTTTGTTTGGTAGGAGGAAAACGAAAAGAGAAAAAATAATTGAGAAAGTTATTAAATATTATTCCCACGTGTCATTGAACACAAATTTGGAGGGAATTCAATTTAATTTAGGTACAAACAATACTCAAGGAACAACAAAATAAATATATTTTCCCCTCAACTCTTGTCTACTTTGTTCTCAACTAAAACAAGGGAAAATTTACTAATTCATTTTCTCCGATCTCTCTTTTCTTAATCTCTTCTCTTCCCTAATCATTCTCTCCAAATGAACACATCTCCACCAAACTAGGGAAAATCAAATTGGAATATCTCATGCAAAGAAGATTGAAAAAACATAAACAAATGAACAACGTTTCAAATATTATTGCATCAAAAATCTAAAAATACAAAACTGATTTATACCATCATTGTCTGTCTCATTATGGGCTTGAGGTGATATGCATCAATAAAAAGTGTCATTCCTATGCATCAATTAGCAAGTGCAAACAATTGGAGCTAATTAAAAAGTGTGCTAATTAGCTCCCTCCATTAGCATAGTCTCCACACTGACTGGAAAGGTTGGCATCATTTCCAGAACACAAGGAGGTCAACATAACTAGATCAAAAATAGTGATGACAATAATGGCTAATGAACAACATAGGACAGCATCCAATAAACAAAATCATGAATCTCACATTCCAGGGAATATAAGGCATATGGCAATACAGAACACATAACATAATTGGAAGAAATAAGGGTCAAAGTTTAGACCAATCATAGTAGTTCTAACTTCTACCTACAGAAAGAACCATCAGAGTCTTTGGGCGTTGCTTGGGATGCGTTCAGTAAAGACTAATACATAGAAACTAAACAATAAGCATGAAAACTTCCCACTTAACATCACTGAGAAATTATTTTTCTACTTTTTATTTCATTCTCAATTTGAGACTCTAGTTCTCAAGAAAATATTAAAGAACTCTTTTGAATCCCTGCAAAATAAACTATTTCTAGCATATCATTGAGTAATGGCTACAGTTACCACTAATGAGCACATGAAAATGAACCCAGGGAAGTCTTCAAATTATTCACACAAGTAGTTTCCACTATAAGTGAAAAATAACTCTAGTTAGGACCTTCTTTTAACCCACCTGTTCTTCCATCTTCTCTGATGCCTTTCCAATTCTAACATTATATTTTGCCAGAAAACAACCACTCTTTTTGTGAAGATGTAAATATATATATTGCGTTAAGTAAAGACTGATACATAGAAACTAAACAATAAGCATGAAAACTACCCATTTAGCATCACTAAGAAATTATTTTTCTACTTTTTATTTCATTCTCAATTTGAGACTCTAGTTCTCAAGAAAATATTAAAGAACTCTTTTGAATCCCTGCAAAATAAACTATTTCTAGCATATCATTGAGTAATGGCTACAGTTAACACTAATGAGCACATGAAAATGAACCCAGGGAAGTCTTCAAATTATTCACACAAGTAGTTTCCAGTATACGTGAAAAATAACTCTAGTTAGGACCTTCTTTTAACCCACCTGTTCTTCCATCTTCTCTGATGCCTTTCCAATTCTAACATTATATTTTGCCAGAAACCAACCACTCTTTTTGTGTAGATGTAAATATATATATTCTTCACCTAACAAGGACTCAAAACCTTCATAAATTAAAAAATGTTTTCTTTGTTTTTATAATGCATTTTAAGCTTAAAACTATAAAATTCTGGGTGTGTGCATCCCATTTTCTGACACAGCAGTGCATCTTCTCATGCTTTATTGATTTAGCTTTCAGAGGTAATTTTTTGCCTATCACCTGAGCTTCCCTGACTCTTCAAGCTAATGTTATTGACAACTTCAACACATAGCACCAAACTCCGTGACACACGCGTTTGGTACAAATACTAAAACATCAATTATACTTAACTCAGCTCTACCAAATCATTTCCCACTAAACTAAAAAAAAAAAAAAATTAGGAAGCATAATAGTTACTCAAGGCACAATACACAATTACACACAACACCAAGACATTGATACCAACATAGAGGGATAATGCAAATAGACACAAGAAGTCAGGGTATTTTGTGGTTTTAGTGCATTGGCATTGGAGCATGGGCTATATGTCATAAGAGTAATTAAGGATAAAGCAAATTACCTCACAAGAGGAGATTCTATGCGCTTCTCCAGCTTATTTGTATTCAGTTTAGCACGATACAAGGCCTTCTTTCTGGCTTGAGCATCCATTGTGAGGCCTTCTTTTCACTAGACAGATAAACCTCGCCTCAAGTCTAAAATCAATAAATATTCTTCTACTTCAGTCAATGAACTGAACCTGTTGTGCATTTTAAGGAATAATTATAGAGGAAAAAGAACTATTATCATTCAAGAAACAGGACTGTAATAAAGATACAGAACTCCAGAAATATACATCTTTGTTTGAGAAAAAAAGACCAAGTCAGAAACACCATATAATCAATACCACCATAGTTTGAGGCATTTTGTCAAATACCTGGTAGGCATGATATCAGATATGCTTTATTCCTTCTTTTCTATAAATAGATAGGGATAAACACCAAAGAAAAGAACAACAAAACATAATCACATACCAAACTGATGAGAATAAAAACACATATAAAGATCTAGCACCACTTTTTGAAGAATTGAACTAAACCTGAACAAGTAGTTGTTGCACTCCGCAGAGAAGAACAACGTGTGGATTCTCCATGGAGCTTCTTGAGCCGTTTCTTGGCAATACCCACGATTGATCAGACCCAAAATCACCACCACCAGAACCACGAGATTCGCCATTGAAGCTCAGTTCAATGGAAGATTTGAAATGGGTAGTGTCGTGTAGATCTGAATTTCAGGATTGGCTATGGAGTTTAGAGAGAGAAAATAGGACAAATCTAGGTGAATCGGTGCTCCGGTAGCCCGCGACGGCGAGGAGGAGCGGCTGGTGAGCGGCGGTGAGAGAGGGGGAGAGGAGCAGCGGAGAGGGAGAGGGAGAGGGAGAGGCAGAGGGAGAGAGAAACGTGAAGAGAGACAGAGGCGCTGTTTGTGGTATAGAACCCCACATATATATATATATATATTACACCATTAGCGACTAAATCTCATTTAGTCGCCAATTAGTTTTATAAAATCCCTCCAAAATTTGAAATAAATCCCTCCAAATATTTTAGTTTTTGGCGACCAAACTTTTAGTCGCCAAAGATAAAAAATAATTTTTTAATTTTACATTCGGCGACTAAACTAATTTTTTGTCACTGAAAATATGTTTTTGGCGACCAAAAGTTTGGTCGCCAAAGATAAAAAATAATTTTTTATTTTACATTCAGCCACTAAATGATTTTGGTAGCCAAAACTCAATATACGACGACTAAATTTTTTTTTGTCGTCAATTCTAGTAATTTTAGCGACTAAATTTTTTTTAGTCGGCAATAATTAATATATCCTGACTAAAAAAAATTAGTAGCTAAATGTTGTACTTTTGGCGACTAAAAAAAATTTTAGTCGCCAATTCCACAACTTTTGGCGACTAAATTTTTTTAATCGCCAATTTTGGTCGCCAAAGGTGCATTTTGTTGTAATGGTATGTTAGGTTTTTGTAATTGGCAATCATGTTTGACAAAACTCATTTTATTTGTAATTTTGTTCGCTCTTTTATTTCAGTAAGGCTATAAGTGTTTAGATGCGAATCTAACCTGAATTGTGCATATGTAGAGGAGTTTGTGATCTTGAGGCATTTACGTTTGTCACTTCGCTAACTATGTACGGGGATCGAGGGGCAGCGCCCCTGAGAGGGTGATTTATGATCTGGAATTGGGCCGAGGCAACGGCCGAGCAGGTTGAGAGCCTAACCGTGCATGGGGCCGAGATGATTGACTATCCGCCCGGAGATGGGCTGCCAGAACTTGGCCCCGGTGGAATTGGGCCAAGTGTGTGCCGCCCCGGACCGTAAAGAAGCTCGGCAAGGCAGTGCTCGGTTGGACCGAGCTGCTTGATCAGGGGATGGCTGAAGCCAGACAAGCTGATTGACTGGCGCCCGGAAAGGCATGGTCAACCGAGGAAACCGTTTGATCGAGATGGGCTGCCAGAACTTGGCTCGGGTGGAATTGGGCCAAGTGTGTGCCGCCCCGGACCGTAAAGAAGCTCGGAAAGGCAGTGCTCGGTTGGACCGAGCTGCTTGATCAGGGGATGGCTGAAGCCAGACAAGCTGATTGACTGGCGCCCGGAAAGGCATGGTCAACCGAGGAAACCGTTTGATCGGCAGAAAGGCCGACCACAGGAGATGCCCCGGGCTTGGCTTTGCCGAGATGCCGCCTAGCCCGGTCCTTCCTGGGCCTAGCTAGTGAAGAGCTTGGGTATGAAGCACAGCACGGCCGTGGATAGAGCAGCTCGGCTGCCGAGCTCCAGCTGAGAAGGCAGGCAGTTGTGATTAGGTGATGATCGGCAAGGTTTATGCTGACAGATGGGATAGCGGAGCCACGTGTCAGGAGATGACTGGGAGTGGATATGGGGCGCAGAGGGTATATAAGTATGTCTGCGCCCCCCATACGTGACGGATGAACACTTTGTAAGGAATTTCTTACATTCAAATACCTCTCTCTCTCTCTCTCTATCCTAAGGTGTGTGCTAACTTGATCGTCGGAGGGTTTTTCCGGCCACACACCGCCGGGTAGCTCACCATTGTTTGTGCGCAGGTGATCGGACATAAACGGAGCTCGGAAGAAAGGAGTACGGGCTTGCCGGAATATTTGCTCCCCGTACAATACTGTAGTTAAAAACCTTGGATCAAATCACATTTGGAATGGTACTAAAGCAAATTGAATGGTGAATTTGGATAGAGATCTAAAAATAGAAGGAAAAAATTTGAGAAAAATATAAATAAAATATATATTTTTTTTCTATTTTCTGCCTCTCTACACTTTTCTTTTCTCTTTCCAAATCGGTATCCAAATCAATTTACCAAACACAGTATTGAGATTTTGTGAATAATATTATAGTACCAGTTGAAAAATGTAGACAATTTATGCCAAGCTAAAAGAAGCATCATGAGAGAGATGCCGAAGTGAGAGAGAAGAGTAACAAAAGTGTGGCCCACAGCTTCGAAAAGCAACCAAATCACCACTTCCCCTCCTACCAACGGCAATCATGTTTGACAAAACTCATTTTATTTGTAATTTTGTTCGCTCTTTTATTTCAGTAAGGCTATAAGTGTTTAGATGCGAATCTAATCCGAATTGTGCATATGCAGAAGAGTTTGTGATCTTGAGGCATTTATGTTTGTCACTTCGCTAATTATGTACGGGGATCGAGGGGCAGCGCCCCTGAAACAAAAAGTAAAAATGTAGTCGAAGTTGTTTGACCGTTCGGGCGATCATTTGTGTGCTCAAGTGAAAAAAATGATCATCCAATACTTTTGCAAAGTGCCTGAACTTCTGGGAAGAAAGTTTTACCACTCGAGTAGTCAGCTTATATGTTTTGCACCGCCTTTAGTCACGTTGCTCGAGTGGTGAAATGTGCGCTCGAGCGGTCTTCGCGACCCAATTTACTATAAAGTGCGTCGTTTACTCGTTTTAAGATTTGAGTCGTCCAGATTTTGAGAGAGAGAGAAAAAAAAAAGTGCTTTATATTGGAGGATGTTTTATGAGTGTTTTCTTAATAATTTAAGAGTGATCAATGGATTGTTTTCTTTTATTCACAAAAAAATGAGTTGTTATTCGGTGAATTCTAAAGAATTTGGGCCTGAAATTTTGGTAGATTTTGGAGTGACTCATCGTTGTGGATTTGACATCGGCGTTGTAGATTCAACATTGAGCAAACCAATTCCAAGGTGAAGACGGTCGTAAAAGAGGCACACCAGGGTTGGTTTAATTTGAGCATGGATTTGCTAGATAATTGAAGGTATACTTGTGCAATTCCTTTTTGTCTTTTTAATAGATTGTTTTTTGACTTTTGTTCGTGATTTTTTTTATCACAATTGGAGACGCTCCAATTGTGATTTTTCTACATTAAATCGTTGTGTTAATTTGTCTTTGATTGTTTGATTAAAATTATTATTCGTTATTTAAAATTGAAATATAATCACAAATCAATATCTCAAGAATTTAAAAGATTTTTCAATGCATTTTAGACATTGTTTTGATATAAAATAGAAGACAATTTTTGAAATTCATATTCGAATTAAAAAACTAATGTCCCATTTTCTTTTCATCTACCTCACATTCATATATTTACATCCCTATCAAAAAAGAGAATAAATACAAATAAAGAAGTAAGGCAATTTATCGAGTTAACAAAAACAAAAGAAAACAAAAGGACACGACAGATAAGGAAAATAAATAAATGATACATGCCAAATTTTGAGTATGCCACATGATACAATGTTAAAGTATGCTAATGAAAGGCACTATGATATGATTTAGTAATGAAAAAATGACAAGAGTGAGAAGTAGAAGAATTATCTAAAAGGTCGATGATGTAATTTTTGTTACGATTTTATTGCACATAAAAAATTATAACCCTTATTTATTTGTAATTATTTTTGGCATTTCTACACTGATTTGTAAGTTCCCGTTATTAATTAATTGACACATTTTGTACTATTTCTTAATACACCGACATAAAAGTGAACGGTTGAGAAAGTTAGGGAAATTGAGGATACCGATTTTAATCTGTAATATAGTGGTAAGAATAGACGCAGAAATGGGGTAGAAATCATAATTGCCAAGGGACTGGTGAAGAATGTAGTGGCGGTCATTAGGAAAGGGGATAAGATTATGTTAGTTAAACTAGTTATTGGTGGGAATATAGTGAACGTTATTAATGCATACGCCCCACAAGTAGGATTAAATGATCAGACTAAGAGAGATTTTTCAGAGCAAATGGATGAGATCTTTAAGGAGATATCCGTAGAAGAGAACTTGGTTATAAGTGGAGATTTTAATGGCCATGTAGGCATAGATAAACTAGGCTATGAAAGGGTACATGGTGGATACGGTTTTGGTGACAGAAATAACGCTGGAGAGAGTATCTTAGATTTTGGTGGTGGCCAATACTATGTATAAGAAGAGAGAGGAGCATTTGATAACTTTTAAGAGTGTTAAGAGCCAAATAGATTATTTCTTAGTGAGAAAAGTGGACTGCCTAAAATGTAATGATTGTAAGGTGATTTTTGGAGAGAGCCTGGCCTCTTAACATAGGATTTTAGTACTAGATTTATGTTTTAGAGGGCAATACCAAGCTAAGAAGGATGGTCGGTGTTGTAGGGCGAGATGGTGGGACCTAAAAGAGGATAAACTAGAAATATTTAAGAATAAAATGGATAAAGAAGGTACTTGAGACTTAAAACATGATGCTAATACTATGTGAAACTGATGGCCAATTGTATGAGGAGAATCTCAAGGGAAGTGCTTGGAGAGTCGAAAATGACGGGACCCAACTCTAGGGAAACTTGGTGGCGAATGGAAGAGGTTCAAGCGGTAGTTAAGGCAAAAAAAGAGTGCTTTAAAAAGTGGTAAAAGGATAGAACTGAGGAAAACCTTAAGAGCTATAGATTGGCTAATAAGGAGGTTAAAAAAGTAATGAGAAAGGCTAAGTTGAAAGCTTATGATGACCTATACACTAGACTAGATAGTAAAGAGGAAGAGAAGAGGGTATACAAACTTGTTATGATACGGGAGAGAAAAACAAAATATTTTAATCAAGTTAAGTACATCAAGAGTGAGGATTCTAAGGTATTAGTAAAGGATGAAGAGATTAAGAAAAGATGGAAGAACTATTTTGAGAAACTATTAAATGAGGAACATGGAGGTACGACAATAGGGGAAGAAATAGCCAGTAATATAATAAACCAAGACTATAGGTTCTATTGCAGGATTAGGAACTTTGAAGTGGAGATTGCACTTAAGAAGATGAAATCAAATAAAGCTTTAGGACCCGATGATATCCCTATTGAAGCTTGAAAGTGTTTGGGTAAAAAGGGGGTTGCTTGGTTGACTAGGTTGTTCAGCAAAATTTTGTTGACTAGGAACATGCCAGATGAGTGGAGGAAAAATATTTTAGTGCCAATATATAAAAATAAAGGAGATGTCCAGAATTGCAACAACTATAGAGAAATCAAGCTAATGTGTCATATAATGAAAGTGTGGGAGAGGGTGATGGAACACCGATTGTGAGATATAACAGAGGTGTCAAAGAATCAATTTGGATTTATGCCCGGCAGATCAACAATGAAAGCAATTTATCTTTTAAAGAGAGTAACAAAAAAGTATAGAGAAAAGAAAAGAGATATTTATATGGTGTTTATCGACCTTGAGAAAACATATGATAGAGTGCCTCGAGATATAATATGGTGGGTGTTAGAGAAGAAATTGGTGACAAAAGGTTACATTGATGTGATTAGGGACATGCATGAAGGGGTAGTGACCACTATTAGATCATCTGTTAGAGAGATAAATGAATTTTCTATCACTGTAGGTTTACACCAAGGATCTACTTTAAGTCCTTATCTTTTTACTTTAGTTATGGATGAGTTGACGAGAAATGTTCAGGATGAAGTGCCATGATGTATACTTTTTGCAAACAATATCGTGCTAGTGGATGAGACTAGAGAAGGAGTTAACACAAAGTTGGAGATTTGGAGAAAAGCTCTTGAATCTAAAGGATTTCGGAGAAGTAGAACTAAGACAGAGTACATAGAGTGTAAATTTAGTAACAGTAATAACGAAAGCAGAGGAGAAGTGAAAATTGAGAACGAAGAACTGTCTAAGAGTGAAAATTTTCCTTATTTAGGATCGATTATCACAACAGTGAAAGAGATTGATACGGATGTCGCCCATAGAATTAAGACGAGATGGTGTAAGTGGAGAAGTGTGTCTGGGATACTGTGCGATAAACAGATACCCACTACACTAAAAGGTAAGTTCTATAGAACGGCTATTATACCAGCGATGTTGTATGTGGTGGAGTATTGGGCAACCAATAAACAACATCTAGATAAGATAAGTGTGGTTGAGATGAGGATGCTAAGATGGATGTGTGGCAAGACTAGACAAGACAGAATTAGGAATGAGTGTATTCAAGAATGGGTAGGAGTAGTACTGATAGAAGATAAGTTGAGAGAGAATCGATTGAGATGGTTTGGTCACATTCAACGGAGACCAACAGAGACAATAGTGAAGAGATGTAATGCTGTAATGGTAGATGTGAGTGTTAGCAGACGGGGTAGGCCTAGATTAACGTTGGTTAACGTTGTAAATAGAGATGTGAATCTACTTAATTTGACAAATGAAATGGCCTTTGATAAGGTCGCGTGGAGAAGAAGGATTCATGTAGCTGACTTCATTTAATGGGACTTAAGGCTTGGTTTGGTTTGGTTATTTAACCCTTGTAACAAAATAAATTTTTGATTTTTAATTTTATCAATTTAAACCTTAATATTTTGATTTGTTTTCAGTTTAAATCATATGCTTATTTTTGTTAATTAAAAACTAACAAAAAATGGGTATTTTAGTTATTGAACTCAACAAAAAAGAATATTGTAGACATTTTATGTACATTTACATTGAATTTGATGACTAAAATACTATTTTATCATCAGTTTTACTTAACGAAAACAGGCGAATAGTTTATATTAAAAAGAAATCTAAAAATTATGGCTTAAATTGATAAAATTAAAAATTCTACAATGGTCAAATCTTAGTTTTTTTATTTATTTATTTTAATTTTCCTTATATTTTATGAGTTAGATCAATAATTATTGATTAAGTGCCACTTTAAACTTGTTTCAAGAGTATTAAATAATTTCTCAAGTTTGATGTGGGATTAATTGATAGACTAGTTAGTAAGTATACTAATTGGTGCATATAGCATTATTCAACTTCGGTGGTGCTACATGCACCAATTAGTGTACTAATTAGTGTACCAACATTAGTTATGACATTATTATTGACCTCACTCATTATACAAATTATAAATATAAAAAATTTCTTAAATTATACCACGGCAACCTATGATGTTTTGTTGCACTAGTTGTTGTATTTATTTTTACCTTATGGTCAAAGTGAAATCATGAAAAATTGCAATTTGTAATTGATTAAACAAAAATGCTTCGTAGCCCGAAAAATTGAGGCTCAAATGGCTCAAATGGTACGGAAAATATTATCTTACCAGTAAGAGAATAAAAAAAAAGTCTAAAACGACGTCGTTTTGAGTTTTTGAGCCATTCGATCCTTTGATTTTTCGAGCTCCGCCGCGGTGCTGTTGATTAAAATGGGCCGGTTGGTGCATCTTCTAGTAAGTTAAAACTATTTTTTTTACTTTTTAATAATTAATTTTTTAAAACCTATTTAAGTTATTTTTATTGTAAAAATTATAAACAAAAATTATACTAAACATTCTGATTCAAATTTATAAAGTCAATAAAAAAAAAAAAAAATTGGAAGCAGTCAATAAAAAAAAAAAAAAAATTGGAAGCAGCTTCACAAGTTACACTAAACAAGCTCAATTTGGTAACAAGGAATTGTAAGTAAGTGGAAAATGAACACATAACCGCAAAAAGTGAAAAAGTAAGAATTTTTGTTGGCGCAAAATTTTAACCGTAAATTGTAACTAGGTGGGACTATTATAAAATAGTTAGACTACAAATAGGAAATTTTTTGGTACAATTTTAACATATAAAAAGCGTTGCATTAAGTACAAAAATAAATTTGTATCATGCACCCAAAAGAATTGTACCATCATAAAAATATTATTTATTTATTTTTTTTATCACTGTTCTACTGAAATGCCATTTTCCCAAATTTTAATGTTAAAACATACAAAAAAATTTACACCTCACCTATAAATAAAGATCTCTGGTCATCTATGATGAATTGCAATTCTCCTTTCATTTAATAGTGATTACAATTTTTTGTTTTTCATGTTACAATCTCATAAGTGAAAAATAATTTTAAAAGTGAGTTTTATTATATTTTATAAATGTAGGAAAATTTTAGTTATTGAAAAATAATTTACAAATAAAATTTATATACATAAAATATATCTAAAAGATGTGATTGTGATATTCTTACAATTATGAGCAACAGTGATAAGTGTTTTGATTTAAAATATAAAAAAAAAAATCATAAAAAATAATGTCATTTTATATAAACTTTTGTATAGTGGAATTTATTATTTTATATTAATTTTTCAGAGATACCAATAGTTGTTACACTTTCAACATGACTATGTGGATTTGGGGTCTCTGCTGTGCATCCAAATGAGCCTATTTCGAGACCTATTTTAATAATTTGAACCGTTCACATTTTCGAATAAATCAAGCAGAACATACCTATAAAGAATCAAGTTAACCTTGAACCAAGGTATTTGGCTAACTAATTGTGTAGTACTACTTTATGGTATGAGTAGGGCTGCAAATGAACCGAGCTGTTCATGAACAGCTTGGGCTCGGCTCGTTAACAGCTCGTTCGAGCTTGGTTTGTGTTCATGAACAGCTCGGGCTCGGCTCGTTAACAGCTCGTTCGAGCTCGGTTTGATTAGTTAATAAACGAGCTTGAGCTACATTTCCAAGCTCGTTTAACAAACGAGCTGAGCTCGAGCTGAATAAGGCTCGGCTCGGTAAGGCTCGCGAGCCTTAGTATATAAGTAAAAAAAAAAACTAGGGTTCCTTTGTATCAAATACATACGCCGCTTTACTCTTCCTTGCTACTCTTTGTAACCTCAGACATTCAAATAAACACACATCTGGCCATCAATCGCACAAACTCATTAGCTCTCAGACACTCAAACATCGACGACAACGGACCGGTATAGCTTCGTTGCCCTGGTGAAGATCTGAGACTGAGAGATTATTCTTCTCTCTTGAATCCATTGTGGTAAGTTAATCTTCTTCTCTCTCTCTCTCTCTCTCTCTTCAACCATGGTGTCTCTTACATGCTCATATGCACACACAGTACACTTATTTCACTTCACCATTGACTTTTATTTCACACAGTAATCTTCTTGAATCCCTGTTTTTTTTTTTGATTGGTTTTTGCTCCCTGTTTTCAACATATAAATTAGGGAAAAATTGCAACCTCTCCCATGATTCACTCAATTTTTAATTCAACAAAAATTCGAAATAAAGATGTCAGATTTGTGGGATGGTTGAAAGGGATTTGTTTGTGTGGTTTAAGGGCTTCATAGGATAGGATCGGGAAAACAAAGAAAATTTCTTCGTTGCTAATAAAAAAAGAAAATTATAACAGCTGAAGATAAGAGTCATTCCTCATGTAACGACATCATGGTAACCACCAAGCAGCCTTCCTACAAAAAAAATAAGGTCATTACTACCTCAAGAAATAAAAAATAAATTTTTAAGTTCTCTCCAGTTGCTTTTTTTAAGTCCCCTGTTTCTACAAAAAAGGTCAAAAGGGACTAATCTAATCTATTTTTTATATGTTTTTTTTCAATTTTTTGTAACTGAAATGGTATGACTATTTTTGCATTGTATCATAATTATTGAATGTAAAAGTTCATCAAATCTGTGGTCATCTTTATTGTTATTATTATTTTTTTCTCCTAAATTTGGCTTGGTTTCTTGTTTAATGCATTTTTTCCATTTGAGATAAAACTCTTATCATTTAGTGCTGCAATTTTAAGGTTCTATGTGCTGAAAATCTATATGCTGAAATATAGTGCATCACAATACAAAGGTCTAGATCAATGTATATTTATTGTGTTTACTATAATTCAGGGTAGGTTTAGTATTGAAATGAACCCTGTTTGCATCTAAAAGATTTAGTTAGATAAACCAACCTTTTACTTAATAATATTTAAATAAGTAATGGGCATGAGGCACTGCCAAAACTGAAATATTTAAATATGGGTCTTGGTTACATTTGTGAATAAAGATGATTTATTAATTTTGTGCTTTAACAATTTAATTTTTGATGCTTTGTTTGGGTAATTTTCTTTCTTGGTTTCACTTATTTAATACAATGGTTAGTTCAATTTTCAGTTTCTTAATGTATTATTATTATAGTTCAATTTTATATTGATTGTTAATTTATTAGTGTATTAATTTATTTGTTGCATTATTGTTATTTTTCTTAGATATGTCAGATAGACAAATTAATCTCACTTCTCCAGAGCAAGATTCTTGTACACCGTTTTCATCATTTGAGGAGTCATCCACTAGTCCACTGATGGATACAGTTAATGAAGATGCAAATGATGTTGATAATTTAATTGAATTAGAGGAAAATGCAAGAGAAAATGGAGTTCCCGAAGACAACAATCCGTTCCAAAAGAAGAGTAGGAAACGAACATCAAGAGTTTGGAATGAAATTAAAGAAGTGGTTCTTCCAGATGGTACCAAGAAGGCTGAATGCATGCATTGCAAAACAAGATTTGCCATTCCTCCAACGGGTGCTACAACTCAACTTCTTAGGCACTTGAACAGTTGTGCTAGACGACAACTTGCTAACAAAAAGCAAAGGGTTCTATCACTTGAGACAACCGGGTCTGATAGTGTGACCAATGTGGCAGCCTTCAAGTATGACCAAGCAAAGGTGAGGGAAGTTGCTTCTCATATGATAATCGTTTTGAGAAAACAGATTTTTGAAAGAAGTGCCAAACATGGACTGCTTTGCCAGATACAGAGTCGCCACCTAAATATTTTTATGGGGAAATTTAGGAAACCCTGACCCAGTGCCAAAGGCCACGTGCCCGTCATCACCAAAGTTGCCTCGGCTCGGGAGCTTGGGTACGATTGGGGAAGGTCAGCTATGAGCACCCCCTCTCGCTCGATCCGAAGATCGGCCTCTACTAACCGTGATATCTGTTTTTGAAAACGTTATGTGTTCTTATTCCAATTTATTAGCCTAGAATTACTATGTTATGCGCACAACACAAAAGTATAGACTAGATCGCCTAATTTGGAAATAAGCATTGCATATCCGTTTGTTTTGAAAAATGTTTTGGAATTTGCTACTCGCAAGTAGGCTGAAACACGGATTTGAATGAGCTATTTCAATTCAGACAATCCAACCTTCACCCACAGGCATTCAAGCAATTATATCACATAAGCAGCTAGCCTCATAGTAATCATGCTATCATGGCAACACTCACACGCATGCAAGGATGCTAAAGCAAAAGAACTTACAGAGTACTCCAAGCCAAAACAGAAACTAGTTAGTAATCATATGCATGATCCTAGTTCATGTTAAGATGGCTAATGCAACACATGCAAAATGCAACTAAGATAGGCTCGGCTAATCTACAATGACATGTGAAATGCTACAACTAACACGTATTCAATTTGAAATTAAAATACAAATGCAGTTAGAGTGATGCGCCGAGCCCGATGCATGTAAGACAAATATGTGGATGCACGCATGCATAGCATAAGGTATGCTAATTTAAATATGTCCTAGTCTACTATCATAAGCGGGTAAATAAAAGGGAGAAAGAATGGGGGGTTGGAAGACATGCACACACGCACCCACACTTATTACACAATTGCCCTCACTCGGAGGGTCCAAATAAATATTACAGTCCGAATAAATAATACTAAATTAATTATTACAAAATTTCTAATCTAATTAACAAATTAAATGCAAAGAGAAGATGGTCGTAGCCCCTGTCTCGGGATGCGTGAATGATGCATGCTCAGATTTATCTTGCCCCGAAAGCCCGTACCATACCACTGCTGCCTCTATTTACACTGCCCTGCTTCTCTGAAAACTGCCAAAATCCTGGGACAGGTTCCCTGAACCCTGTAGGACACCATCGGCTGAAGGGAATACCCATCGGCCATGGAACTTATCCATCGGCTGGGGTTTCATATTATCAGCCACCAATCCATGGCCGGTCGGGCCGGTCGGCAAAAACTCCCTGCAGAAACTGGTTTTTGACAACAACAAGGACAGACAGTGTATGGCATGGAATTTTAAGCAAATGTATGCGCGGGCACACTCCCTATCATGCAAGGGACTCAAGGGAGCATGACCCTCGACCCTCGGGCCATCAATCATGCATTTTGATGCGTGATGGCCTAAGGAGCCAAGGTTGCAATTCAATGAAAATGCATGCAACATATAAATGAATACCAAAAACCCTATCATGCCAAAGTCAAGGGCCTCGGTGACCGAGAGTTGAGACGCATTACATCACTTGTAGTATGAACACTTCTCCCCCCTCACACTTGGTTTGACACCCCAAACCAAGCAATGCAATGCATGTTGTGCAAACATGGCTCGAAAATGCAACATATCACTAAAATGCAAAGCATGCCAAATGTAATGCAACATATCATGGCAAGCATGCAATGTTCCTAACATGCAATGCTACAATGCAACTTATCATGCAATGCTAATATGGTACAATGCAAGCATGCGATTAGAGGCAACAAGTCACGCATACAACCATGTCTGAGAAGGGACTTAGACTGAAATGAGAGGCCTCAAACGCCCCCAAAACAGTGGCCAAAAGTGTCTCAAGTGATGGACAAAATGCACTACAAACATTCAAGTCAAAAGGGGTCCAAGGCTAAGGCATAACAACAGGGCACTCCACTACCACTAACCCAAACAAGCATGGCATGAACTATACAACCCAAAAACAGAATTTTAGCATGCAAAATAGCTCCAAAACCCGCTGGTATGGCAGCCCTAAAATGACCCAAACACGGAGGCATACACAATGCACATGTCAAGGCATGAAAACACAACACTTCAAGGCATTGAAAGAGACACAAAGGACAATGTAAGACCACATTATATGGACTGGAATATGATCTCAACTAATGCCAAATGATGATAATAGGCCAAGCTAGGCATGTTAGTGATCCACACACTCAAGGCTCATGATCCAAAATGCAAAGCAACTATATCAAGCATGCTAAACAAGACCAAATCAGTGGCCAACAGACCTCATGCATGACAAAATATGGTCAAGAACTTCACAAAGTGAAGCCAAAATATGAGAGCCAGGTAGTCAAAAGTCATGATGCATTTCTAGGCACAAACAAGGGAATACAAAGCAAGTATGTTAAGCATGCAAAGGGCCACCAATCCGACCAAAAACAGAGATAACATGTGACCTAAATAGCACCAAAAACATCTGATATGGAGCCAAAAACAACCAAGCATATATGCTACCCTTATAAGCCCAAAACATGCACAAATGAGACACAAAGGCAGAGGGGTGTCCCTCCCCTATACAAGAACCATCTTCTTCACCACTGAAAATCCACTGGATTTCAGTGGTGAGAAGGCTAATACAACAAAGCAAATAAGGCTTAAAGGAAAAGACACCAAAAGGGGCCAAAAGAGACCTAAGAGGGGGATTTCAACCCCCAATGCCAAAACACCCTTAATAAAAGTTCTTAAGCATGAAAATATAAGACTTTCTTTAGTTATACACAAAGCTCAAATCAATATGAAAGATAGGTCAAAAGCCAATGCAAGATTGGGAAAAATAAAGCAAGAAACCCCCCCTTGAAGAACCCTTCAAGAACAGTTGGAATGTCTCTCAAACTTGAAGCAAGGTGTGGTAGTGTGTGTCTTAGTGCAAAACTAAGGTAAAAATGCACTTTTAGGCCACAAAACACACACAAGGGAGGAGAGAGAGTAAAATATATATAGAGAGAGAGTATATGACAGATGTATATATGTATAATCTTTGGTTTTTTGTTCAAAATCTCTAACCCTTGACAATGGGAGAAGAGGGATCCTTATATAGGCAAAGGGAAATGGTTTAAGCTTCTCAAAGAAGCCAAGTGAAAGGGGCAAAGGGGGCAAAGGAGTCAAGGCTTCTTGAGGAAGCTAGGACAGCTGGCCAAGCTTCTTGAGGAAGCTTTGACAAAGGGTCAAGCTTCCTCAAGAAGCTTTGACCAAAAGGGGGCAAAAGGGGCAAAACAGCCACTTCATGCACGGGGAGGAGTGTTGGTGCATTCCAGCTAGCACAAATGGCATGCACCAAGTTTGAAGGGTGCAAAAGGGTCACACCGGCCAGCAAAAAAAGGTCACCGGCCAGAACAAGGTGCCGGTCGGCAAAATATAGTGCCGACCGGCCATTGGTTTTAAGAAACCACTGCCGGTGGCACCAATAAACGGCCGGTGATGCAAAGGGAAGGCCGATGGGGTGTGGGGATGGTCAACAAGCCATTCCCTACCCCTCAAAGCAAAAACACAAGTGTTTGGTGCAAAACCCGACACAAAACGGTCGAGTAAAGAGATTCTGAGGCAAGGCGCGTAGCCAAGACCTCCGAGAACTCGAGACGAACACAAGCACGGATGATCACCGAGTGTTCCAACAGTGACGTCCAAGTCTTGAGGACGGTAAAAAATGGGGTGTCTACAGTGTGTCGACTTATGAGATAGAAAAGAAGAAGTTGAAAACATTATTGAAGAGTGTTAATAGGATTAGCATTACAACCGACCTATGGAAGTCAGGGCAAAAAATTCAATACATGGTTGTCACGGGTCATTTTATTAATAATGAGTGGAAGTTGCAAAAGCGTGTTCTTAACTTTTGCAATGTACCACCTCCGCACACTGGGGTTATCATTGTGGATGCTCTTCACAAGTCTCTAGTTGAATGGGGCATTGAAAATAAGGTTTGTTTTCTAGAGATCTACCCAGAGGCAGAAGCTACTAGAAACATTTCCATGGTGCGTGACGCCCTATATGAGCTTTACAATGAATATGTTGTTATTCATACTTCAAGTAACAATGAGCAAACTTTGCAGCAAAGCACTCAAGAAGTTAATGATTCTAATAATGCTAGTTATGGTTTTGGAAAAGCAGTCGGGACGGGAAGATCTAAATTTGAATCTTTTGTTAGAAAAGCTGACACAATTCAGCCTGCAAAATCTGACTTGGACATTTATTTAGAAGAAAGTGTTTACATATGCAATGAAGGTTCAAATTCCCATTTTGATGCATTGGAGTGGTGGAAAGTAAACAACCTCAAGTATCGAATATTGTCCAAGATGGCAGCTGATATATTGTCAATTCCAATCAGTACAGTGGTGTCAGAGTCGACATTTAGTGCTGGTGGTAGAGTTATTGATCCTTATCGAGCATCATTATCAACGGAAACAGTCCAAATCTTACTATGTGGATCTGATTGGGTACGTGCACTACATGGACTCAAAAAGGGATCAGATGTAAGTATTTTTTTTTAATTATTAATTTTGATCCATACAAATACAGTGACAAATTTCTTTATTATCAATTTATGTGAAACATAATACTGAAATAATATATTATTGTTTCTTTGATAGACTATGGAGTCATCTTTCAAAGAGATTTTGCTTCCTTAGTTTGATATCTTTGGGTATGTTTCATCTTTAATAAACTAAATTTTTTAAGTACTATCATAAGATTCATTCATATAGAATAATTCTACTACTGCAGGTTGAAGGCTCCTGTGAAGTTTCCAAAGGAATGAAGACTTTTTGGTGTGTTTTCAAGTGAATCAAGTCAAGAAATTAGTGGCTTAGTTTTTGGTTATTATGTTTTGTTTAAGGATGAATTGTGTAATGTATTGTGTAATGTGTTTTATTTAAGGATGCACTATATTTTTGGCAATTATGTTTTGTTCAACGATGCACTGTTTAATGCATTGTGTAATGCATAGATTTTTTTTAATTATTAGTTGTATATAATTTTTTTTTTTTTGGGTTTGATGCACATATTTTTTTTTTTTTTGGATGCATAGATTTAAGTTTATTGTTACTAGTTGTACAGATTTTTTTCTTGGATGCACAGATTTTAGTTTCTTATTACTAATTGTATAGAAGTTGCTTTTTTGGATGCATAGATTTCAGTTTTGTATTACTAATTGTACATAATTTTTTTTTGGATGCACAGATTTCAATTTTGTATTACTAATTATACATAATTTTTTTTGGATGCATAGATTTTAGTTTTTTATTAATAATTGTACATAATTTTTTTTTGGATGCATAGATTTTAGTTTTTTTTTTATTTTTTGGATGCACAGATTTCATTTTCTTAGTTATAGATGGAATTGGAATTTCGAGCTTGTTCGAGCTCGAGCTCGAGCTCGTTCAAGCTCGTTTGCGTTGTCGAGCCTAGACGAGCCGAGCTCGAGTTTTTAAACTATCCAACGAGTCGAGCTCGAACATAATTTCTGAAGCTCGAGCCGAGCTCGAGCCGAGCTCGAGCTTCTCCCATTTTGACCGAGCCGAGCCTAAACATCTGAAAGCTCGGCTCGGCTCGGCTCGGCTCGGCTCGTTTGCAGCCCTAGGTATGAGGTTGTGAGTTTAAATAATACCTTTTGTGTTGTTCATTTTTCTTTTTCTTCTGACTCTTTATTCCAAATGACTTCCCGTTATGATGAGTGATATTTCGTTCATAATATTACAAATCTAAAAATTTTACTTGCTCTTCTCGGTGATTGGCACCTCGGAGGCTGTCTTCTGGGAGGAGGCACCTTTAGAGACTTCACCTTCCTCATCCTAAGTCAAGTCCAAGGCTTGCTCATTCAGAGTTGGGGACTTGGCCCTAACAGCTTCTTCGATCTTCTCGGCGTCAGCCTGATTCTCGGATTCAGCTTCGTCCTCGGACTGGCTTAGAGGGGGAGGGAATGGCAGGACGATGCGGTTATTTTCTCGGAGAGGCAAATCCTCGGGGACAGCCAACTCCTTTAAAGCAACCATCTAACTATGGGTGAAACCCTTGTTGAATGCCTGCTTCACTTGCTTCTTGTAGTCCTCGCGGACGTCGGCTGCCCCCTCGACGTACGCTTTCTCGTCTGTCGCTTTGATCTCGGTGTCCTTTGTGGCCAAGGCAGCAATGAGCTTGGCTTGGGCCTCGGCGGTCTTCGCTTCAGCCTCTTTCTTTTTAGCCTCAAGGACCTTAGTGACGGCCTCAACAACTCCTGCCTTCTCCTCGACCTCTTCTTGGGCCTGTTTGGCTGCCTTGGCCTGATCTATGAGCATCTTCATCTTGGCCTTGGCTCTGTTGATGGTCTTCAACAAATTAGCAACCTCCTTAGTCTCATTGACCAACTCCTTCTTGATGTCGAAAGCCTGCATCGCGAAGGAGTGGGCGTGCTGGGTTGCCTAGAAGAAATGGACAGAACAAAAGTTAATAAAACTCTAAGTATGGAAAAACAGAGTATAGAGAGTATTAAGTGTTAGGGGCTTACTTTTACGGAGTGCTGCAACATTAGAGTGAAATTTTCATATTTGCTGACCTTGGCATTGTGGTTGAGGTCTTTGGAAAGAAGCAAGGCAGTAGAGAGGGCAACGCCGACTTCGATGTCATCGGCACTGTCACCAGCTCTGACTGGCTTGTCCTCAATTGTGATTGAGGGGGCCCAGGGGGCATCGGATTTGAGAGAACCTGAGGTGGCCACAGAGTCCGACCTCGGCCTCTTTGACTTAGTGGATTCGGATGGTTCGGCCTCGGCGGGCCTCTTCTTGGCGGCGGAGGATGTCTTCTTGCCCTCGGGTTGTGTCAATCTAAGTCACCGTCGCCTTGGGTTGGGCTTTCTTTAGCCTCTTTGGTTTTGGTTTGGGTTGAGATTGGGAAGATAGAGATTGGACGGTAACAACGTTCGGGATCTCGGCCAGAAGATCATCAGCAACTGCCTTCTTGCAACCCATTTCATCGGAGGAGATGACAACGGTAACTTTATTGCCAAGGCGGATTGCTAGTAGAGCTATTGGTGGGTTGGCTGGATCGTAAGAGGACACCTTGGCACTTTGGCGTCTTCGGCTTCAGGTCCTGCCTGCTGGTGTAAAAAGTGGTGCTCGAGGTCGGCGTTGACGTTGAGAGGGTGGAATCAATTGAGGAGCTGAAGTTGATGGCTGTTCTGCTAGGGTAGAGGTTGATTCCTGATTTGGCCGAGATGATGAGGTTGTGGCAGGAGTGGTAGCAGAAGGGGGGACTTACTCTTCTTCGGGATGTCGGGCAAAGTTAATTTGTATGTTGGGATGAAATTCAGAAGCAAAGGAGCCTTGCGCTGATTAACAGGCAAGTCCAGCAACTTCTTAAAATCTTTACTGGGAAAGAAGTTTTTGCGGAAGTCCTTTGGGGGCTGAGGACGAGCTGCACAGACAAAACGAGCAGACGTTAGCACATACAAAAAATATCAAAATATAAAGACTTTAGAACGAGAAAAAGTGACACTTGACTCTTACCATCCCCCTCTCTGAATACTGTTCGGCTTAAAGGGTACATGTGGAGGTCATCATTTGGTGGGAACTCCCAGTTACCTGAGACGATGAAATAATCGTCTCCAGCACCCTTGTTGGAATCAGGGAGGTCGACAATGAGTTTGTATTCGGTCGACCTCGGCTTTAAGTAATAAATGTAGCCTTTTTCTAACTTAAGGCCACACATGGTATAACAGTACTGGATATCGGCTGGGGTAATCCTAGCATTCTCTTTTTTGGCTAAGGCAATTATACCGTTGATAACTCGGAAAGAGTTGATGGCTATTTGCATCAGGTTAAGCTTATAGTAGTGAAGGATTTGGCAGAAGAGGATGTCAAGGGGAAACCTGAGCCCGCACTCAATGAAGGCTACTACTGGGAAGGGCGTGGAATTGTCTTTGGGCATGATTGAGTCCTCCTCCCCAGCCAGCCTAAGGTGGACGTCGGCGGGGATGAAGAACTCCTGCCTAAAGTGTTCAAGCTTCTCTGAGGTGTCTACCCTCCACCTAAACATTCCCATAATGTCGGCTAAGTGGGGAGGCTGTTGGATTTCAGAAGGAAGTGGTTTGTTAAGGTTTAGAGGACCTCGGCAAAACCTAAAACGAATGCTGGGGCAAGAGTTTTCAGGATCTAAAGGGAATTTGTTTCAATTTTTCCTAAAGTTTGTAAGTTCTAGAACAAGTCCCAAACCTAAGGCTACAAAAATAAGGATTGAAGGCAAGAATCTGGAGAACACAACAAGAAAACAGAGAAGAATAGAGATTCAGACTCAAGAAAATTGGAAGGGGTTCAAGAACATTGCATAAAATATAAATGTGCACAAAAACAAGGACAGTGACAAGCTATCAAGAACGTCAAAGTAAATGGACAACATATGTGTATGTGTGTGTGTATACAAGCAACAGATTGTACAAAATCCCTCTCCAAATCCCTCAACCGAACACAACATAACTAAATGATCTCAAAGTTTGAGTCTTTATCAGAAAACAAAACAAAAAGGAAGCGCAATTAGCACAATATGGAGCTATCTTCTGAAAGCAACGATGAACAACCATGTTTGAATTACCCTAAATAAATCTGAACTGAATATCTATAATCCAATAAAAATTACAATAAACCAATCAAAATTACATGGGATATTCGAATCTATTTTGGTTTCATCAAATTAAAATTAAAAGAAAAGAGTTATTTTGGGGAGAAAATTACAATTGAAACCCAAAACCAAGAAAAAAAAAAGTATTTGGCTAGAGAAAAGAAAAGAAAAGACCATAAATTTGAGGATGTTGATACTGGAGGAATAGGAAACATCGACTTGCAAATTCGAGTCGCCCGACGCCCCGTTTCCTTCACATCTGCTTTGTTTGGGTCACCTCCGCTCGTCTTTGTCGCCATATTACACCATCTCTCCCTTCAAATATAGTGAAAAATAATCAACAGATCTAATCACAAGCTTGAGAAAAATAAGATCCAATCCATTCATCAAACTTGCATCAAATCAAGTTTTCACCACATATTTCATCAAATGAGAGCTGAATCAAATCTTTCATCAAATTTTGAGCAACCTTATTTTAACTTAAAATTTGATGAGATTGTTAAATGCTGAAGGATTGGAGATCAGCTTTTTTCATCTTCATTGGTTAAAAGGATGTTTTTTCGGGGGATAAATTAGGTATTTTTAAAAAGAATTGATGAAAATTTTGATTCTCGCTATATCAAATCAAACAAAGCTTTGATCTATATTATTGAATAAATTTGATGAAAAACGAAGGGTAAAAGGCTGCAAATGCTCAAATAACTTTCTATATACGAACATTTATGTATACAGAATGAGATCGATAGTGAATCTGGTTTGAACTTACCACGTTCAAGGATACACAAAAGCGATTAGGGATTTGAGATTCTCGGGTGCCATGAGGAGGCGCGACGCAAGCCCATATATAGCTAGCGAGCGGGATGATGTTCTACCACTTGCTACAGTGAAGATGATGACGACTTCTTTTTTGTCTGTTTCTTTGTTTTAGGCCATGTTTGGCCCGACATCTCCAACAAAACATGATAATTTTTTACTATTGTTTACTTACATTCGTTTTTATAAACAAAAGTTCTAAAAGAAATTTTAGAAACGTAATTTTTACATTTGTTTTTACAATGATTATTAAAAGAGAAAATTAGTTTAAGTTCCCTCTCCCATTTTTAGTAATTTAAAGAGTTCAGTTGAACAAGAAAAACCAAAACCATGCAAATCAGATTAAAAAGGGCAGAAACTTCTTGGCTTTTTCCTTCACCTTTACTTCAATCATGCAGCACTCCTTTGAGGCCCTTCGATCACCACGGATAGCTTCTATCCCCATATCGAGGTGAAACTTGAGTAACTGGTGGTAATTTGAGGGTATGGCCCTCATCTCATGAAGCCATGGTCTACCGATGATAGCATTGTTTGGAGAAGATACATCTACCACCAGAATCTGTTTGTCTTGTTATTGTGTCTACATAAATTGGAAGTGTCACCACCCCCATAGGTCGAACTGGCACCTCATTGAATCCAGACATCAGAATATCGATTTGCTTCAGGTCCTCCGGCTTTAGATTGAGCATCTTGAACAAGTTTTTGCACATTACATTAACCAAGCTGCCTGGATCCACAAGGATCCTGTACACTTCGTGATCACCCACGTTTAAGGAGATCACCACAACATCATTGTGAGGAAGATCTACCCCCTCCAAATCATCATCAGAGAAGGATATCGTGGAGTCAGAACTTTCCTCACTTCTTAGTCTTTTCCCTAGAATATAGTACATATGCTACCTGTGCGAAGGCATATGCATTGGCACCTTCATGTCCTTCTTGTTCTGATCCACCATTGCACGGATCACATTGAAATCTTCGGGGGCAATTACAATACCTCTACCAAGTAAGAATTTATCATCGACCAACCCGTGAGTGAATTCCTTGGATAAGAAATAGTACTGAATAAGTATTTACTAAATTTTGATCAGAGCATTAACAATGCATCATACCAACGTAAATTCAGATCCATCGTTGACAATCAATCAGATAATCAAAAACTCAAAACCTTCAATAAAGGTGATTTTGGGTAAAATTTGCCAAAATAGTACTGAATATGTATTTGCTAAATTTTTATGGACCCAAATGTATTTTACATGGTAAAATTTGTTGCTTGTAGAATAAAGTAGCCCAAATGAGTATGAAACTACAAACCTTAGCTGTAAGGAATCTGGCAGCATCACAACTCTTCTTAACATCATAGGGAACCTTACGAACAAGATTTACCATTTGGCGAGGCAAACAACCAATAAATGCCCGTTCGGCCCACCCCCCGTCTATAAAAGGAAGGCACCTCATGGCATAAAGGTATGATCTTTTCTCTGCACTCCACAGGAAATATTCTTTACTATCTATACTTTTCATTCATTGATTCTAACTTCATCATCAGAGTGTCCCCGGCCGGAAACCCCGGTTGGGTAGTATCCACCATATTTATCTCTTGCAGGTTCAAGGAACTATCTTCGTTGAATCTCACCAGCAATCCATGTGAGAGGATATTTCATGGTCTCACAGACACAAACAACATTTTTTTGATATTTTTATATGTACATATCGGCCTTTTGGGCAATAAGTTTTGTAATAAAAATAGAAGTTCGAATGATTATTTTGGTACCCTCACTTAAATATTATTTCCGCTCGCGTTTATTAATTTGTTCAAGAATTGGCCGGAGGTAACTTCAGTTACTGGCCATCACGATGCTTAACCCTTGGATATGAGGAGCAGGTCGTGACAAATGGTATCAGAGCAATGGTTTATAAAAAGATAAATAAATCATCATTGGAGCATGGGACACACGCACATTGAAGAAGTAGGATAGCGGGTAATTAGTACCTAAATATTATATTTTGTTAGTCAATTTAATTATATTATAATTTTATAGGATTATATATATATTAATTGTTTTTTTTTGTGTGTGTGCATAATTTGTGAAGGATATTAGATATAATTTATATTTGTTATAGCAAAAGAAGGAAAAAAAACAAAAGGGTGCCGGGTTCAAGCACCCACCAAAATTATAATATAATTAAATACACATAATTTTCAGTTCAGTATTTAAAAAAAAATATTCATTTCAACTTTTTAAAAATGTGTTCAAATTTTAAAAATACTAATTTTGAAACTATTTTCCATCAGTGGAAAGTTCACAGATAAAAGAAATAGGAGTTCATCTCAAATTCCTTTAACTCCTGCATATGATTTTGTCATTTCACTTCCAGTAGCTTGTTTGATTGTGTTCTCATTTTTTATTTTTCTTGGAAATAAAACTAATGAAAAGTTTTTAAAGTCACCGATTGTTTCTAATTTTGGCCCAAAATAATTTTTGACAACAAGATAGTAGTTGTTTTTGGTAAAGTTTTTTTGAGATAATATTTTCTATCAGATTAATCATCTAATATATATTTATCAGAGCGCACAGCAGATAGTTTACACATATGACGAATTTCGAGAACGAAATTTTTAAAAGGAAGAAAGATTGTAACAACCCGAAAATTTAAGTTGTCCCTTCAATTTTATACTAGTACTAGTGTATACCCGTGCCTAAAGGCACGGTGCTAATAATGATAAAATCAAAATGTAATTGAATATAAAATTGTTGGGTTAAAATATAATTTATTCCATTTGTTGCTAAAAAATTGAAGTCAAAATATAAATCAAGGTCTGGTTAATTTTGAAAAGTTTTTTTTTTTTAAAAAAAACTTGAAAATAAACATTTCCTAATCAACTATTTAAAGTACGGCAAGTAACTCAATCATAAACATTTTGATTTTATTAACAAACTTTATGACTCTAAAGCATAAACTTCATATCAACACAAAAATTAAAAATAAAAGCATCCTTACCAAGCAAGTCAAAAAATAAAATAAAATTTATAGATACAAAATAAAACGCACAAACCAAAGATATTGTACATTTATTAACACAATAATCCAAAAAAAATTACACCAAACAATGCACAACCAATGCTTGACAATTACAAAAAAAAAAAAAAATTGAAATTGAAATACCAAACAATGCATGCCAGCCAGTGCTCTATAATCTATAAAAAAATTAAAATTGAAACGCACACCAACCAATACTTTGTAATTTAAAAAAAAATTAATTTTAAACACCAAGCAATGCACACTTGCTAGTGCTATTGCCACAACTCAACATTGTAATAGTTCTTTGCAAATTATAAACCCAAAACTACATGAGAAAAAATATAGGGGGAAATAAAATAGGGTTTCAAAACCCTATTCCTCACTTTCCTACCACCGAAAACTCTTGCCCTCTCTCTCTAGAGTGTTTCTCTCTCATTTTTCGCCCGTTTCTTCGCGTTCTACGCCCGTTTCGTCGTCGGATTCGCGTTTCTCTTCGCGTTTCGGACATTTTCCACCGATCACATGCATACATACAAGCCATGTGTAACACAGAAAAGGTGCCGCAACCCTCAACCAACATATCAGCGTGGAATCGGCGCGATACACATGCAGAACTGTGTTTTAACATGAAAAGTAAGGGCACATACCGGACCAAGCTCAACCTGGAAAGGCGCAAGCCAAAGGCGGAAGGTGATGCAATGAATGCATGCAATCTACAATGCAATATCTACAAATATGTTTGGGCATCAGGCCTGGGGGTGGCCCTCTCCTTCTTGGGACTTCAAAGGATCATCTTCACCACTGAAATCCCTCAAGATTTCAGTGGTGAAGAGACCTCAACACCAAAATCCCGGAGCTAGCACAAAATGGCTCAAAATGAGGCCTTTTGAGGCCTAAGGGTGGTCAACAACCCTCAAACAACAAAACACTCTTAATAAACAATAAAGAGGGCCTAAAAACAGAACTTTTTTATGTTATACAACAAGCACAAAAACAGCTCTAAGATAGGTATAAAATCAAAGCAAAAATGGGGGAAAAAGGGACTAGTTTCTTACCCTTGTAGCCTTCTTCAACAATGGTGCTCCAATGGCCTTCTTGAGCTTGAATCCAACACCAAAATCTCAAAACACACTCTTTAGAACCTCAGCTCCTGGAGGAAGGTGAAACACTAGGTGTTTGTGTGCAATAGTGAGACACAAAACACCTAGTGAACAAAATGAGAGGGAAAAGGGAAAGAGAGATAGAGAGTGTATGTCTAACCCTAACCCTAGAAAAACCAGAGCTCTCCTCTGTCTTCTCTCCTCAAAAATGTCTAAAAGCCCTCTTCTTTTTTTGCCTTAGAGAGAGCCTCTCCCTATATGCCTCTTGTAAAGCTTACAAGACAAGCTTTGCAAGAGGGAGATCCCTCCATACAAGTGTATGGAGGGGAGCAAAAGTTATACAGCTGTCCAAAAATGTCTGCAAAAGCAGATGAACAGCAATCGGCCGGCAAAAAATGCCATCTTGGCCAAACAAAGTGCCGACCGGCACAAAAAAGTGCTGTGGCTAATACAAAACACATGGAAGGCCAACTCAATAAATAAAAATAAAAAAAAAAAAAACAAACACATGGAAGAAGAAATTATTTGAAAACCAACAATGAACAACAATGTGCTACCAAATAAACCTTGGAGTTTGAATCATATTTAAAATTTTTGAATGAAAAATGAAGAAACTTACGCACCTTAAAACACCATTGCACTGATGGAACACATACTTGGGTGTCCTAGTGGCATAAGTCTGTCTGATAAACCATCATCAGGAGAAATGTTTTGCACCCAAGCTTAGTTTCTCCCTGTATTCCAGTCAGTCAACTTCCTATCAGCACTGTAATTTTGATTTCGAACATAATTCTTCATTTAGTTATCTAAAAAAAAAAAAAGAGCTACATTGGTCTACCTTCTCATCATAATGTGTAAATCAAAGAGCTAGGAAACAAAATTAATGTAGCAGAGGCAGAAACGGGAGGGGAAAAGGAAAAACAAAGAATAATCAATATCTGGAGTTGTAGACATGTTTGAATTTCTACATATTTCAAACAGAATAGAGAACAAAAGGGCAACTTTAAAATTATAAATTTCACGTAGGGCAACAAAAGCTGAAAGAGAAAGGAGGAGAGGAGTGAAACAACAAAATCTGAGAGAAATAACTTACCGGAGTGAGCTCTGATGGGGGAAAGAAGGAAACAACAAAAGCTGAGAGAGAGAAAAGAGAGAGAGAGAGTTTTAAATTTGAAATCAAGAAACCTACGCACTTTAAAATACCATTGCACTGAAGAAATCAAGAAACCTGCTAAATCACTTGAAGATACAAAGCAAGCAAGAGAGATGTGATATAGGATTTATGGATACAATCATGGAATTGATTTTCTTAAATAAACCTGATGAAAAGTGCAATAAAATAGAAGCACAAATGACAATTCAATTAAAGAAGAATGCATGGATAATTTTTTTTTTATTTTTATTTAAGCTTTAAATTTTGGTTCCCCCATGACTAAAAGGATATATTATATTAGAAGTCCTATTGAAATTAAGTTGCCAAACTATAAAACAATATGTGCAACATATGGATTGTGTTGAGCCATGATACCACTATCAATCATCCCATAAAAACAAATTGAATTAATGATTGGGATCCATTCCACTAATGTAAAGATGATGATAAGATAAACAAATTTAATTATCACACTATTACTCGTTTGTAAATGGGCATTGGACGTTAAAAAAAAAAATTTAATATAACGGTGATATCATACTAAAAAAAAATTGATCATATCATTGAATTTTTATTTTGTGGATGATGCAGCCATTTTATTGTTCTTGGTTACATTGTTTTATCAAGAGTTGTGCCTCGTTTGGGAATTCAAACTCAAATTTGGAAGAATTGTTAAATACTCTGTTATCCTCAAATGCTGTACAATTCTATGAACCAAACATCTTTGAGGAAAACAAAAAAGAATAATGAAATTGTGAGTTAACATAGCTGAAAAACAACAAAGGAATTGGTGACTTGTTTCCTTTCTGTTTGAGTTGATTTTTTGCTAGATGTGCTGTTTCACATTTTTACATCAGATAAAATTGTTACAAAATCTAAATCTTTAATATCAAACACAGAAATTAACAATTTTTATACTGGAATGCAATATTTCAAATAAGATAAATTAGAAATCAAGAAATTTACTGAAATCAATGTATCAAATCCGAAAACTGAGAGCGAAGACTTACTGTCTCGAGGATAAGAACTGAACCGAAACTTCACTGATACAATGATGCTTCCTCGACAATGTTGAAATTTCCTGTTAAAAATAAAATAAAAATTGTCGAAATTTCAGAGGGAGGGTAACACCATAATAATTGAATCTCATTCTCCAAGCCAAGTCTGGCAATGGTAAGGAAGATCGAAGGTGCTGTGATTGTGTGAAACCACATTTATAAATTGAAGGCACTTTATGGGTACTTTTTTTCCGGGAAAAAATTCGTACACACAATAACATGAATATAAACAACAACAACAATAACATCCAATCAAATATAATCGAATTTCACAATGAACTCAAAAAAACCACTAAAATTAACCAAACAACATTAGAAATCGCAATTATTCATATGTAGATACAACTAAAAAATAGACACAGCCCGTCAGAAAGAGAAAGAGAGAGGCAGGACACGATGAACTCAAAAAAAAAAACCTAAAATTAACCAAACAGTATCAGAAATCGCAATAATAAAAAAAACACACAGCCCAACAGAGAGAGAAGGGGAGAAGTAGAAACCGAGGACTACCTTGCGAGCCGAGTTCGAGAGGCAGGAATCGAGGACTGGAGATTTCCTCACTATTAGTGAGAAAACAAAATTTTAAATTTGGATTTCCACTTATATTTCTTTACATTCAATAGAAGGGAAATAGGAGCTCAAACTCAGGAATCGCACCTGGCAAGAGAGCACCACAGGCCTTAGAAATTGAAAAAGCTAGAAAGATAACAATAATGTGACTTGGCAAAAGAATTTAAAATAGCAATGATATGATTAAAGTCAAATGAATAGAGGATAAAGTGGTGAAAGGTAAAAAAGAAAATTACCAGCCAATGCCAACCACCAAGACCAACAGCCTTCTTGACGACACCTTGTTCTGTTGTTCTGTTGTTTCCTGTTACAATAACTTTGGTGTGCCTAGGAAGAACAGAAAGCTCTTCATCCCCGCTTTCTTCCCGAAAAGGTAAGAGAATCCGAGAAGAACATAAATTTCCCCTAAATTTCCCACTTGACAATTTCGAGCAACAAATAGAAATCAAACCCAGTTACTTCAAAAATAAGCAAAACACATCCGATTAAAATGCCTAAAACGTCTAAATTTAGTCGAAACCTTCCTTGTCATAAGCAGCTGATATTAAAAAAAAAAAAAAACCAAATTCATTAGAAGAACACCCATCAAAGCAAATTCGGTCTTCACTATTCAGTACCCAGAAGCAAAAATGTTGTATAACCTAGTATTCATATTGAATTGCAGACCCAGAAGAACCCATAAACTTCAATTCATAGAGTGAAGCTATGATATTACTGAAGATGAAAACAATAAAGATTGAGGGTATGAGAGAGAGTGAGAGAGAGAGAGAGAGAGAGAGAGAGAGTTCTGTATTAATGTTGATTCTTCAAGGAGTCTGACACAATTTTGATACCATCAAAAATTATCAAATAACAGAGATAAATTATGATACCATCAAAAGTGAAATGTGAAATATAAATTATGATACCATAAAAAATTATCAAATATATGATACCATCAAAAGTGTTTTGTTTTCTTTAAACTGATAAACTGATCAAATTTTCTCATAAACTGATCTACTGGAATGTGAACAGGCGAAATTTAGATCGAACACATCTCAGCCAATTCAAATACTGAAGTGCCCAAACTGATCTACTAAGATAAATGGCGAAATTTAGATCGAACACATCTCAGCCAATTCTATTCCACAAAATTTCTACTGGAATGTGAACAGGCAAAAATTTGATTTATTTATCTCATATACCAAAATCAAGTGTGAAATGTGAACAGATCGAACACAGTGTGAAAATTTGATTTATTTCTACTGGAATGTGAACAGATCGAACACAGTAGAAAATTTCAAATGTGAAATAAAACCAAAATCAAGTAATTTGATTTATTTATCTCATATACCTAATGACAACAACCTAGAAATAAGGCGATTCTTTAAACCCTAATTAAATTTCTATTCCACTCCATTTTCTTTAAACCCTAATTACTTACTTCAGAGAGAAGGCGATTCTTGGGAAGAAGTTTGAGCACTTCAGGAGGTAGAACACATGTCTGCAAAATCAACAAATCAATAACCAAAGAAGTCGAAATTTCCAAATTTTTTTTTTCCATCAATCCGATGTGGACTGCTGAATCAATCCGATGGGCAATGTGATCGGAACGCCAGATCTGAACGCCAGATCTCGACCTCCTTCCGAAGATCGATCAGATCAAGCCCTAGATCGAACACATCTCAGCCATTGATGACGTCCTTCAGCAATGCTATCTGATCTCAGATCGGTTGTGAAGCACAGTAGGGAGAGGGAAAGGGAGAGAGAGAGAGAGGGAGAGGGAGTTGAGGACAACGTTTGGGTAGAGGCAGCCATGTTTGGTAGGCGTGGGAGAGAGAGGAGAGGGTGTTTGGGCGGGAATAAAACACATCCCAACCATTGATATATATTTGGGATTGATCTCAGCCATTGGATCAAAATGTATCTCACATACATTTTGATACATTTTTCAAAAAGCTTTGTGCCTTATTATATAGATTATGGTTGTATGTGATGATATATTATTAAAAATAAAAATAATAATAATAATAATAATAATAATAATAATAATAATAATGGGTGTGGTAGTAAAATAAATAATTAATTTTCTATTGGTATACAATAAAGTGTAATTTAATTAGGGGTTAATTTATTTATATAGTTATATTAGAAAACTGGGCCAAAGTGTAATTATCTTAAATATTTATTAAGATAAGTATAAATCCTGGTGAGTTATGAGCAAATCTTCGAGCTGGCCACGTTTTGGCCGGATGTTGATTTTACCTCCCTATAAATAGGGAGGAGTTGATCAACTCTATGGGAGAGAAAAGGAAAAAAAAAAGAGAGGGGGAGAGGCACGTAAGTTGCTGGTAGTAGGAACTTATAGTAGGAAGGTTGTGATAGTGGAGTAATGCTAAGGGTCAATATTAAGGTGAGTTATATTATACCTTGAGGCACCATAATATATTTTACTTACGTTTTGACTTACCATAATTTATTTTATACAAGTTATGTTTATAAATTATATTAATATTTCAACTACGTGGATTATTTTCTGAACTCTATTTATTTAAAATGAAACCCATAGATATGTTTGTTTAAATTTTAGTATATATTTGACTATGACCTTATAAATAATTATGTTTTGTAAGTACCACCACGGGAGTCCCACACCTTTGGGGACTTAAATAACCACTGGCCTCTGTTTGGTCACTTTGTGGCTCTCTATGGTCATAGATCTATGGACCTCTGTTCTGTGCGGAGATAACTACTACACTATTGTGGGAGCTACCTCTATAATCCGTACGAGCCACCTATTGAATCCGTACCTCTATTCTGACTGTCACTCCTGTGACCTCTGTTCTGTTCTGTTCGGTATCGTGGTTATGGTTATTTATTTACATAATCTCAGTTTTACTACTTAAATGATTATTTGTTCAGACTAAGTTATCTTAAGTACTCTAGTTACATAACTATCCATGATTATTTTGTGTCCCTTGTACTCTTGACATAATATTTCTCACTCTGCCATGTGCTTGTAGCTGTTTACCAATTTTCAGGAAACAATGCAATTAAGAAAGAGCTTTTGGAAAGTCTTAGACGCGGGGCTGTGGAATAGACACGTTATAGCGACCCTGGTTTTGACCCGTCTCTTGTGGTGTTCTGGACTCAGTTTTGTATGGTTTGGATGGTGGTTCATGTCTTGCCTCTTTTGTTTTCCCCTTAATGTTGGTTATTGGGTTGTAGTGGTGTGTTTGGAACAGGTTGGTTGCTTATTTTTCCAAGCCTTTGTTGCCCAGAATTTGGCTCTTCTGCTCGAGCGGGATTTTGATTGACCAAGGGAGCTCATGTGAGATAATGTATTACGAAACATTCAAACAACTGAAACTGGAGGACATAGACTTGGCACCTGCAACATCTCCCCTGATCGGATTCAACTCAATGCCAGAGTGGCTAGTGGGCAAGATAATCCTCCCAGTCAGAGCAGGAAGCATGACGAAACAGGTGGAATTCTGGGTATTGAAAGTCCCTTCCACTTACAACATAATCTTGGAGAGGACATGGTTGCACGCCATGCGATCGGTAGCGTCAACCTACCATCAAGTATTACGGTTCCCCAACGAAGCCGGAGTAATTGAAGAGGTCTTTAGAGACCAAATTATGTCCAAACAGTGCTTCGTCACAGTAAATGGCAGCTGAGCTGCCAAATGGTATGTACAGGTGGTGGAAGAACCTGAGAGCAATGAATTGTTTGCGGATGTTGGCAAAGCCGCTGAATAGAAGGCAGTGGAAGACTTGGTACAGGTAAGGATAGATGAAAAGAACCCAAAAAAGTTCTTTTTGCTCGGCTTATCTATGTCTAACACTGAGAGAATAGAGGTCATGGAATTCTTAACCTCTAACATCGAAGTGTTTGCTTGGACGTCGTATGACATGCCTGGCATTGACCCAAACTTCATCTGTCACCAACTGAACGTCCACCCAACTGCCAGACCAATTATACAGCGCACTCGCAGATCAGCACTCCACTACGCCGAGATAGTGGTAGAAGAAGTGGGAAACCTTCTAGAGGTAGGAGCTATCAGAGAAGTGCACTATCCCAGGTGGATCTCCAATACCGTAGTAGTGCCAAAGAAAAACGGAAAATGGCGTGTTTGCGTGGACTATAAAACAGTCAACAAGGCATGCCCAAAGGATAGTTTTCCCTTACCATGGATAGACCAACTGGTAGACTTGACGGCAGGCCACAATCGACTTAGCTTTCTTGATGCGTATAGAGGTTACCATCAGATCGCTATGTATGAGCTTGACCAAGAGGTCACATCTTTTACAATGCCCAGAGGGTTGTATTGTTATAAGGTCATGCCCTTTGGCCTAAAGAACGCAGGGGCAACATTCCAACGGATGGTCACCAAGATGTTTGAACCATTGTTAGGCAGAACAATGGAGGCTTACATAGATGACATGGTGGTCAAGAGCAAGGTTGAGAAGGACCATCTCAGGGACCTAGGTGAAATGTTCCAGATCCTGAAGAAGAACAAGTTGCGCCTTAATGCATCTAAGTGCACGTTCGGCGTAGGATCAGGCAAATTCCTAGGCTTCCTGGTAACCAACCGAGGTATAGAGGCAGACCCCTCTCAGATCAAAGCAATCCAGGATCTAGAGAGGCCCAACTCAGTAAAAGAAGTGCAACATCTCACTGGCATGGCAGCAGCGTTCAACCGGTTCATAAGTCGGTCGTCAGACAGATGTCGACCATTTTTTCAAGCATTAAAGGCCAAGTTTGAGTGGGATGAAGAATGCGATCGCGCCCTAGAAAGCCTGAAAGAGTACATGTCTTCTCCACTGTTGTTAGTAACCCCAATACCAGGAGAAGAGCTCTTTCTGTACCTAGCAGTTTCACAGCATGCAGTCAGCGCAGTGTTGGTCAGAGCAGAAAGAATCCAACACCTGCCCATCTTTTTATGTCAGCAAGACCTTGCTGGGCGCAGAAACCAGGTACTTACCACTGGAAAAACTGGTGTAGACGCGCC